TTTAAAGAAATTTATTAACTCAAAAAGTAATTGTGAGATATTATAGAGAATAAGGCGAACTTCAGTACAACTTCAATTAAATTCAAATCCCTAATAAATAAAAATTTATTGTATTATATAGAAAATTGCTAAAGCTGCTTATGTTTATGTATGTACACAAATTTAATTAACAATTTTAAATTATTTCAGTTAACTTGACTTGAAATGTTTGCGTGCATAGAAAACCACAAAATATTCCTTAGCCCAAGCAGAAATTTTCGTCCAAGGCTTTTTCGAAACTTCAACACGTGTGCCCTGACGGCTGCGTCGGGGCCACCACACCCGTTGCTTGCGTTATTGCACATTTTCCTGTCGTTTAAAGGATAATTCCAATTATTAAAATCATTGAAACGGAATTTCTACAATTCGACCGCAAAAGATTGCAATTTTCAACCGCAAATTTCTGGTTTTGCTGGGCACCCATGAGCAGACATTAAAAATATTTCAGTTTGAAGAAGAAAATTAATTACATCCCTGTTTTCCGTTTAATTTTCTTTCTGTCAAACGCGCGCATGCGCTCTAATTTCTTTTGTCCGTGGTTATTAGGCGGTGGCTACTGTCATAATTAGAAAATTGCGGATTATTAAGGACACGTATTCCAATAATAAGAGTGATAGCATAAGAAAGAAAATCGTAGAATTGAAAATTGAAGTGGCATGAAATTAGACTGAAAAGTGCTGAAATGGCGTCACTCGTCTTTTCATTGGATTGCGATGATCTTCAACTTACAGATACTTTTTTGTACGAAATGAGCATATATAAATTAATCAAACTGAGCCGCGTACTATTCTAGACAAATTGCTTTGGATCACTTTTAATTTCATATCAATTTTGTTTTGTCTTATTTCTTGCTGAGCAACATGCGGTCTATTTCCGTTGGGAAGCGGATTATAAGAGTGGAAATTAAAGAAAAATTAGGAAAGAAATTATTTGAATATGTTACCATTTTCTAATGGTTTTTGCAGTTTCACTGAACTGAACGGAGTCGAATTGAATTTGTCGGTAGAATGTTGAACATATGTTGGGATTTTGAAATTATTTTTGTCAAAAAAATTAAAATTGTTTAAAAAAAATATATAATTCATTAATAATCGTCTTGCAACAGATATTTTGTTGTGAAAAAAGGTACTGAAACAATTATTCTTGAAGAAATTTAATGATATTTTAAATGAAGTACAAATTATTGCAATCCCGACTAGAAATTTATTCAGGATAACTGTGACAATGTTCATAACGGATAAGGATACACTAAGGTATATAGTAAAATAGTAACTTTTTCAGTACTTGATGTAATTGTGAACTGACATTACTTAATATAAAAATCTAAATCCAATCATAGCCATATAGTGACGATACCCTTATCTCAAACGTTAAACCTTATTAGTACCTTGCCTAACAAAGCGTATTAAATTTTAGGAAACGTTCATCTCCTAAAACCTGCCTTTTATAAGTCAATAACTTATAAAATAATTGAAGACAAATAATATCTTATTATTAAAATTTAACTTTCGTTTTGTAAAAATACTGTACAAATTCAGTAACAGCATTAAAAGTTTTATAACATTCTATGAGTCTAAGCTGATTGCGTTTATGCCCAAAGTTAGTGATTAGTTTAAAAAAAATCAAATAAGTTTATTATTCAAAATTATTCAGGGATATAGCTCAGGGTTCAGGGATAAAGCTCACATCTTTAAGATACAAAAGGCGGCTTAAGCAATATTTTCCGTGAATATATTTCAATATGAAAAATGTGTCCAAAATTGTTGTGATATACATATACCTATAATGATCCAAAAACAAAGATAACTGTTGTGGAGCAATTATTAGGTATACTAAACAGTATATAATTTTGGACAAAATCAAGAACCATCATAACACATAGCAATCAAAACGGCTGACCGCTGTTTGGACAGAAGTTCTTTAAACTCATTAAAGCGACCAAAAACGCATCTTTGGCTATTAGAGTTCTGGTTGTATGCGGTAAGATATTCATGGATTTTATTAACTGACAAAAAATTATTCATTGCAAATATTACTTTGCATTAGATTACTGTTGCTTTTTAACGGAAAATATAGGATCACATATTAAAGAAAGATGTATTCTTTCAGTGAGACAATGTATCGTATCACAAATCATTAGATACGATTAGTTACCAAACTGTATTTTGAATTGTCTAGCAAATTCTATTTGGAATAGATGTGCATAAGATAGTTAGATTAGATAATTCAAACTCAAAACTTAGAAAATTGAAAATTATTTAGGATACTACTAATAAAAACCTATTTAATGTCAGTTGATAGATATCAGAACTTCACGTTAGATAGGTACAATGCTTTTTAATAGTGTTGGCTGATTCAAGATATGTAGATCGATAGGTTGTTTTTGAAGAATATTGGCCTGTGTTTATGGCTCAGGCCATGCCAGGAGGAATTGGAAATAAATGGACTTCAAGCATAGCTAAATGATTAAAGTCAAATTCATATGTGTTTCAACCACTAATGATAGAAGCGTCGTAATTTAAGAACGTTAAAAAACTGCACTCTCTAATATGTATGATAACCACAGATAGAGTCTGTGAGCTAGGTGTTGACTCAAAATAAAACAGAACCATATAAGAATAATATATACATATATATATATATATATATATATATTTAATAATATGTATAATAATATATAAAAATATGTAATATATTATAATATATAATATATAAAATATAATATGTAATAATATATATATATATAGTATAGTATAATATATGGTATAAACTTTAATAATTAATTTATATTGTCGCCTTATAATACAATAAAGTTTAACTTAAAGGAACTTACGGTTAATTTCAGTAAATTTTTGTTAACATTTTTTTTATGTATTTTCCAAAAAATATTTTCTATTCAAATATTTCGAATTACTTTGTAGACTGTTTTCATTGTATATAAAAACAAAATAAAACAAATTGTTTTTTTTAAATATTTTTATAAATATAATAAATAATTCTTGTTTTTCAGTACACTAAAGATGTTCTAATATATGTTATAAAAGATTTTGTAATTTCGTGATATTCCTATCATCGATTTTACTTTTCATGTTGTACCTCTATTTAATTTAAAAATATTACTATTATTTAAAAATATTTATATTTGATTTAAACATTTTATAATTTTTTAATATATATTATTAAGAATAATAAAATATGTAATAAATATTTAAATATTAATATTATTAATATTAATATTTCCTTATGCAGTTTCCAATTAAATAATATTTTTTTAAATAAAAACCGATAAAAAAATATGTAGTATGAGATTTTAATTTCCTTTTCTGCAGTTTCTAATTAAATAATAGTTTTTTCAAAAACCATTTTTAAACTATTCGCACTTAATATGCTATAAACCAAAATCTCCTCAATTTATAAATGTGGTGAATATTTAGCAGAGAAATTAAATTTTGTATTATTTACTTTTCCCCTGCCGAGTGTTAAACTCACCATCAATAAAACAACAAAACCATCGCATCGTATTGGAAGTTATACATATGAAAAGCACACAAAATAAACAAACACAGTTTTAAGTGCACATAAATTGTCAGTAGCAGGAGCAATATGGCGGCAACGAAGCAGTACGAGTGAAACAACAATATAGGCAAGTGAAATAGCAAGTAGCAGTTACAGACTCGACTCTGGTAAGCACCACCACAAACTCTGCTTTGCACAACAAACCACTTTACCAGTTTTACAAGAAAAACTCACAGCGAGTAACATTTTTAGCTGTAACGAATGCAGGTGCGGTTAGTCTCGTTTTGACAGTTGAAAGCAACGTTAGGAGCGGTTACAAATGTTTAGAAAAAATTATAATTAAATTAAATTATTGAAAATTTTGTTTTATTTTATTAAATTTAAACTTTTATTAACACAAAAATAAATAAAAATGTGTTAAGTGCTAGTGTAAAAAAAAAAACTTGTGTGAAGTTTATTTGTCATTGTGACTTAAAAAAATACTTATTTTGCTAATTAATTACAATTGCGAATAAAACTAAAAAACAAAATAATATACAAATTAAATTTTTTTTTATAAATTGTTATATTGGAAATGAAAGATTCGATGACAATTCTAACGCCCACATTACCCACAAGTGAACATCAAAAAATGTCAAATATGAAACCAAATCGTTCACGTTTTATGATAAATGATATATTGGCTGGCAGCGCAGCAGCAGCGGCGGCTGTGGAAGCAGCAAATGCAGCAAGTGTTGCAGCAGCTGCAGCATTTTATAAACAACAACAACAACAGCAGCAGCAACACCATCCACACAACAACAACAACAACAACAATCATAATAATAATAATGGCGAGCAGCAGCAAATGCAACATCAAACGCCAACAGTAAATTTGCAAACGCCACACTTGCAATTGCCGCATGCACAACATCCGCTAACGCACGCACACACACGCTTAGCGGCTTTACATACACAAAATTCGGCAACGCATAAAATGCATTTTCCCGTCGGCGCAACACAAATCGGTTCGAATGGATTGAATGTCGCACAATACGCGGCTGTGATGCAGCAACATTACGCGAACGCAGCCAATGCCAGCGCCGCAGCACGCGTCGGTGAACGCGGAAATGATTTGGATGATAGCAGCGATTATCAGGACAATGAAGATTGTGACAGCGATGAGGCCGGCAGCGGACATTTGGATGATAACAGCGTTTGTAGTAATGGTGAGGTGAGATTCAATTTATTATTGTGGTCAGGCGCGGTCTTAGGTTGCGGCGAATTTTTTTTTCGTAGCAGAAAAATGTCAGTTAGCTTTTGTTAGGCGAATTAATCAAGTGAAGGGCTTTTTCAAACATTTTCTTAATTACTAAACTAATTGTGTATTATAAGTTGATTATTATCTGTTGATTGGGAATTAAATGAAGCTAAGCAACAACCTTAGCAACAAAACAAAAAAAAAAGTAATAACTAACTTAAACTGTGATAATTAATTTATTAATTGCAAAAAAATGTTTCAACCTTTAGCAGTGATATTTACTAGTAGTTATAAAGTTGTCACCTTACAATGACTTTTAATGCGAATAGCACAATTCTATAATTAAAATAAATAATTTCACTGAACACAAATAATTTGTAACAATTAAATGTTTTTAATTTGCTATAAGCAATTTTTCTTATCAATTTTATAAATGTGACTTATTGATGTCTAATTTAGTACAGTGGTGCGATGTGGTGCAGTGAGGAGGGGGATTTGCTTAAAACAAATGAAAAATGCGCAATGCACAATGCATTTTTAAACAAATTACAGTAATTTCAATAATTTTTTTTTTGTTTTATAAAATTTTTGTTATTGTTCAATGATACAAAACAAAGCAGAAATCAAGAAATTAAAACTCTCGCATATGTAATCAGTAAATTCACAATTTTTTTCTACAATTGTAACCATTAATCAAATAAACAAAATTATATGTTTGAGCGAAATTGTTAAATTGTGCCATTTAACAAACATTTTCGCTCGATTCCCACTACAGACAGCAACAGCGGCAAGCAGTGCAGCAAACAGTGCCGCAGGCAGCGACATGCAGTAAAAACAAAAGACCGACCTCAAGCACAGTTTGTCGCTTAAATCTTTTGTAACGCACCAACAATCAAAGCCAATTTGTTGTCACTAAAAAGCAAATAAAAAAACAAAAAATAAAACAAAAACAAAAACAAAAAACAAAGCAAAAGTCAAAAAGAAAATAGACATTGAGGCAACCCGCACAATGCAAAGCTGCACGTGTAAAATTGGTAGCAATTTGTGTAGTAAAACAAAAGCCAGTGATACGAATTTTGCGGCGAATTTGCTGCTTATTGCACATTTAATTGAAAAATGTAGAATTTCTTATTGTCTTTTTTTTCTATTTTGTTTTTTGTTTTAATTTGTGCTAATAGAAAATATTGTAATTTTTCACGGTTTGCTTATTTTTCACAAGAAAAAATGAATTAGAAAATATTTTTATACATTTGTTGCACTGCTTAAACGATTTTACTTCTAATACAAATACTCACATATGCCGTAAAACAAATAAAAGCAGCGCAGTTAGCGCTTACCACTTCGCTGCAAGTACAACAGAAACAACAGAAAAAGCGTAAAGCTACGGCAATAATTAAAGTGAGCAAAGCAAATAAGCACAAATAAGCAGATATGAGCGCAGCAAATAATTACAGGCTTCTGCTCATAACCTCAGTGTACTAAACTCTGCTAACAGAATCGTTTAATTGTGAACACTGGAGGAAAATGTTAAAATGCATTTAAACTGGAATTTAAATTGTCCGTTTAATGTTAGGTTACTATTGCTGTTGCTATTAGATAAGTTCTAGCCGCAACATTCTTGGAAAGATATTTATAAATTAGAGTACAAAATAAAAAAAAAATGATTAAAAAATCTAAAACAGTTTAATTTTAATAGATGTTGGGTTGTATTATAAATCAATGATGTATGAAAGCGTGAGTTCAATTTTTAATTGATTTAAATTATTTTTCCACGAAGTCCAGTTCTAGTTCTATACACTTACAGGAATGGTATTATGGTCTCACAAATAAGATATCACCAAATTTGTTTTAATATCTTTTTTTAACAATACATTTTTTATGGATCTAGTTCTGTTAGATTTAACTCTAGTAGACATGTGGAAGCGGTTTGAAGTACTAATGTAATTCGATGACTTCAAGTATGAATTTTTGCTTAATTTAAAATATATTCCCTGATATAGCTCCATGTACTTGCATTAATGGTATTACAATCGGAAATATTCGATTCTGCAAGAACTGCAAAATAGTCATTAGTTACAAAGCTGATTGCCGAGTTCATTTGAAATCTTTAATTAACAATTATTTAAAATGACAATAATTACGAAAATTGATAGGCTTACCAACACCGCGTTATCGAATCTCAGGCTCCACGGGGAGGTATGCAGATCTGACGTCCATTGTTGCTTAGTCTGATAAAGTGATAAACTATAATCAAGGCGTAAAAGAGGGTTATGAAGAAATCTCGCAGTTAATAGAGAGTAAAAGTGTTCAAGTGCATTGACTCAAGTAGTCTCAACGTAATAAAAAGTTAGATCCAAATCCAATAATCGACCAAGTGGTAGAACCTCCCTCATAATGTTATTTGATGACTTCAGAGTTTAAATTTTGCTTTATTTTAAATTTATTTTTCAACATTGTCCTGTTCCTCCTTTAAGCATTTGCAACAACGGTATTATGATTTTCATTGGCTTCTTTAAGGTCCTCAAAATAGTCATTAATAGAATAAATGATATTCGAGTTCATTTCTGAGCAAGCAATTTTTTCAAACAAAAATAATTAAAACTATATGAATCCAAATTATATCTCATAATGTAATTCAATGACTCCAGTGTTGCCTTTTGCTTGCCTTGAAAGGCGGGTATAGTATTTCCGAAATAGTCTAATTAGATTTTCTATACCAGCTTATACCAGATTTATCATTCCTTCAGTAGAACTAGTTCATATATCTTCTGGAATATTTTTCATTTATATGCCAAAAGCTGATTGCTTTGAGTTATTTCTTACATATATATATATAAAAACTAATGAATTAGATTTTCTAATTCTTAAGTGAATATTAGATTTACAATCTTTACATACTTGATTGATTCTTCGATGATTTGATTTATGGGGCTATACATTTATGTAAGAATCGATTAAATCACATTTTCTTAGAGGAATGGGTTCACAATCTTTATATTCTTTGAAGGTTCTATTTCCAACAAAACCTCTATATACTCGTATTTGTAATTTTATTCTGCATAAAACATAATTCCCAGGTATTTCAAAACTTGCACCTTTTCAAAATCCTTATTAACTATTAAGAAAAATTCTAATGATAAGATTTAGTCTTATATCTTATATATATGCTTTGTTCCGCGGAAACTTGGGCGGGGACCAAGTTAACGATTTCAAGTTTCATCTACCCGTGGTTTTCTTCGTTTCCGTCTTTGTAAATGAAAGATATATGTGTAGATAATGTAACAAAGACTCCCATAATTAAATACAAAAAAAAACATTTTTTTTTTGTAGTAGCAAAAGAGATGCAAAAAATATACCATGTTCCCTATATGTAACTGTTTCAAATTAAATGTGACATATTTAAGACCTCAGTGCTCTTAGAAGTATTAGTTCAAATCGTCGATAAGAAACGCTCCATAAGTTAGTTTCGCTGAGTAGCTACAACAGTGTACATATTATGAATGAGTTAGGTAAATGCTATTTGTGGAGATATCGACTAATTGGTCCATTTAGTATTGTTATTAAACTTGGCATAACATAATTTCAAGGCCCTCACTTGTTGTGTTACATTTTAACGTAACATAATCGCTTTCCGGGTCATTCTAAAAATGGCGATAGTGTTCTTGTATGCAGTAAATGAGTTTCTGAACTTTGACTTAATAGATACTTTACTATACGTACAGTGTAATAAAAATATAAAACATATATCGAGCTGAGTAAAGACAAAAAAGAAACTTAGTCCATTAATCTTAATTAGTACACAGTGTGCCCTTGCAAAAACATTTTACGGTTGGTTCGTGGATATAATTTATATCGCTAATTGTCATTTAATACAATATATATCGACTATTAATTTTCTTTGTCTTTTTTAATTTATATATTTTTTTAAATATCCCTTTAAAATTATTACAAGCGCTTTTTCTTAGTTATTTTATTATAATTTTATGTTTGTTAAACTTTTTCATTATTCTCTTATTAAATGATATTAAAATCATGAACGGATATACCTTTTTCAATGTCTTCTCAATCACACTTTTTTTATTTTTTAACACTTATTTATGTTTTACTTATTAATGTTTAATTATAAGTCCAAGTTAATGTGATTTTAATGATTCTGAAGTGTTGAAGAAAACGTATTATTAATATAATTCTTGTCATTATGAGTTTATTATGACTTACTTGATGATATATAATAGATTATTTAATTTTACATATTTCATTTATTGAGAGTTTGTAATTAATTTTTTTAATGTCCTTTAAAAAAATATTATGTTACAATGGAGTTCTGTGTTATTATAGCATTAAATTTCTTCTTAAAATATGTAATTAAGAAAACAATTATAAATAATTTATATACGATTAAAATTATATTATTAAAAAGTATTATATTTCAATTAAGATATGAAATATTACCTTAATTGAATATTAAATTTAATATGAAGATATGATTTAGAGATCATTATGTTATGATTATGTTATGATTAATATCATATTGAAATAATGTAAATTGCTATATGAAAAAATTATTTAAGTATATATATAAAATTTAAAAAAAACCCAGAATTTCAAATTTTTATAGTTTAAAGTTAAAAAACTGAAAAAGGGGGGTTTAGGATTAAGACTATGTCCAATATATCTATTCGGGTCACAGTGTCTTCTGGCCTTTAATAATAATAAAAAGTAGTTTATAGTTTTTTCAAAAGAAAATTTTTAAGAAATTATTTTAAAAATTATAAAGTTGATTGTCTTTGAATGATACATCAGATATATTGATTATACATTAAGACTGAAAAGTTTTCGGAAATTCTCATTTAAAATTCGCGCGCTGTATATTTTTCGATATTTTAAGTTTATGTAGTTTGGCAGCACTGTCCTTAATTACTATGCCAAAAATGAGCGCGATCTGTCAGACAGTTCGTTTACGGCAGC